AATCACTTCATAGAGCTTAGTCTTCGTTAGGGACATATTTTGACCGCTACTATCTTGCTACTTCATGAAAATTTTGTACTAAAAAACTGATTTAAAAAACAATAAGAAAACTATCGCAAATGAAGCCTTAACCATAAGTCTAATACAAGCGCAATACTCAATCATGAATTTGTATATCTAATAAACTATTAGTATTTATCATCCAAATAAAATGCTTATGCATATCTTCATCAAATTCCACTGAGCCCTCTAAATAATCAGCTTTAAAAAATGTGCTTACTTCCATTCTAGCCTTCTTCATCATCATCGATCAGTCCTCAAAACCCTAAGAAAATATAACCTCCCTAAGCTATTTGCATCACATGTTGCGAAATTTCTATAAGTGGACACATATACTTATACATATAAATAAAGTCTTATACATTAGAAGCTATCTAAAATTAAGCCAATTAAATTCCTGATCTATTTAAGTATTAAATTATTATTTGGCTTGTGTGACATCTCAATTAAATTTTATATGGAATCAATTTTTTAAGAGGCCAGATATTTATTTTATTTTAATGACGGACTGAAATAAATTATTTACACTTAAAGTATAAAAGGGTCGTGGTCCGATCCCCAGTTTAAGTGGTTAAGTTCTCATTTCTCATCTTGAGTGAAAAGAAGGGGTCTCTCGCTCTCTTGGAGAATGCCGCTCAAAACGTGGAAGACCGAATACCTCAATTCTGCATTTCAATGGATTCAGATACACTTCCGAAAATTCTTCTCGATGATTTGACACATGACTTTTGAAGACGATCGAATTTATTTTTTGTGTCTCCATTGATTCCTAACATCACCTTCTCATTGCTTTTGACACAGTGAGAAAATATAACAAAAATTAGTTGTCATCACACCATATATTCCATATGATTTCTTCTCTTTGCCATCAACTAAATCATAAATGCATGCACGCCCCACCCCTCCCTCCCTTCTACGTTGCATGTGATCTGCTCCTGTCGGTGATCATCTATCCATTCTGTTCATTTATTTAAAAGCCACTGTCCTCAATTACTAAGCTTTCTTTTGGGGCAGCTTTCTTACTTCTTCAAGCCGTTTTTTTAATAAAAAACTGCTTTAAAAAATAGTAAGAAAACGTTATAGAAGCTAAAGACACTATAAGAAAATCGATCATTACCTGCGGTAATTTCCGACCGTTTTGATATATTATCCGGCGGTTTGTGAAATTTCTAGCAATTTTCTAGCGGTTTATAAACCGCCGGAATAAACTGCATAATAAATGAAAACCGGCGGTCATTTTCTAGAGGCGAAATTTTTTGGCAGTTTTTTTACGGCTAAAACAGCCGGATATTAATGAACCCAAAACCGCGGGTAAACCGCCGGAAACTTCCAGCACAAAAACTACAGGGGACAGCCGGTTTATTGCCTGCGGTATTACCGCCGCTATATCCATTGGCCAATCCGCCGGTAAGTTTCGACGGCCAACTGATCTCCGGTATTCAGCAAATTTCATGTAGTGATAAATAAATTGAAAGGATATGAGCGAAGTAGAAGCTGTAAATGGCTTCTGCTGTAAAAAGAGAATAATTCTTTCATTTCCCTGCTCAGCTTTCAGTAGAGTTTAGGCAGTCAGGTTTGGCAGAAACTTTTGACATTTTAAGTAAACTTTGATATAAAATTAGTTATAATAATTCAATTCATTGGACTTTTTTGAGTTGAATATTGCGTTCTACTTGCATGAAAAGGGCCACAATATATTGCTCTTCCCATTGAATGTAAGAAGCTATAAATATAATTCAAGAGGATGTGTTGTTTGAGTTCTTGGAAGAATATTAGTAGTTATGGCACTTATTGTGAGGGAAGGCTATGGCATATGGCTCATGTGGGCAATGGTTTAGGTGTGGTTCTTGCATGTGAAGTTCGCGGCATAAGTCTTATTGGCAATGATTATGATGTGGATCTTACGAATGATATTTGTGATATGGGATCTTTCAGCGATGGTCGCAACATAGATCATGATTTGTCGTGACTTAAGGATCTATTTGTTGGAACGGCTTTCTCGATGTTTTGCTTTTTAGACATCTATCATAATTTTGTTTAGTTATTATTCTTTGTTGCTTTCTCACAGCATTTCAGAAATTTCTATGACGGAAAGTCGCTTTTTTCTAACTAAAGCTTTGTAGTACAAAGATTAAAAATTTTGTACCAAAAAATCGCTTTAAGAAGCAGTAAGAAAGTAATCTCAAACGAAACCTAAGCCTTTTTAGGACTACCTCTACCTTTCTTAAGATAGGCTAAATCTAATATATATGCTCTCCTAACTGGACACAATAAATGAAGAAGGCTGACGGTTTATGTGACCAAATCATTCAAGGCGGCTCTCTCTAATCTTATCTGTCACTGGAGCTACGCCAACTTTTTCACGTTTGCTTTCTGTTTATAAGAGTGAAGCCACTCATCCAGCTTAGCATCCTCATCTCTGCCACACTTAACTTAATTTTATGATTTTCTGTTAATGACCAATATTCTTCGTCATAAAGTATTGCAGGTCTCACAATCATCTCGTAGAATTTTCTTTTAAATTTAAGAGGGACTTTTTTATCACAATAGGCCCGATGCATTCCTCCGCTTCAACCATCCAATTTTATGCTCTATCCTTTAATTTTAAATTATTTGACTTTTTAATATTCAAATGAAATTTTTAATTGTTAATTAAGCAAAGGGAAAATTGCCAGCAAGATTACTTATCAAATTAAAAGGTGTTCAGTACAGTTATTAATTGTTGGTTTGGTCTTCTTCTGGAAGTCACATGCAAGTTACTTTGGGAAGCCAAGCAAACCTACAAACATGAAAATACAAGACTGAAATTTAAAAAAATTAAGTCATCAAATTTTAATGAGACCAAATTTATAAGTTTTTAAATTTATTTTGAAATAAAAAAAAAGTATAAATATTTTATTAAAAATTATGCTAAAACAAATAATCATATTGTTCGTTTATTAATAGCTAAAAAAATAAAAAATATTATATTTTGCATTAATTAATTATTTTCAAATGATGCCTAAAATTTATGAGCTAGATTGATCCATCTATATCCCATTTTTTATATATAACCTAAAATAAAATATTAAATGTAAAACAAATTAGAAAATCATAGAATATATAAAAATAAACAAGAAAAGTGATAATTAGGCATTCTAGAAGCTCTAATGACCTATTTTGTTTGATTTGAAATTAAATAAAATCGGTGTAAAGTATTTCAATGCAATGTTTTAAAATATTAGGGTTTTAGTTGAAGCAAAAGAAATATAAAGTAAAATTTTCAAGTAATTGGAATTCAACATATATCTAGTTCAATTTTGATGTACTTGCAAATCATTAGATTTGTTCAATTTTCAAATACACTGCAAATTCTCTTTCTCTGTCACTTCCTATCATTGTAGTCGCTGGTCTCCACTTTCATCTTCAGTCGCCTGCCACCTCCGCGCTAGGAAAAAATTATTCTGTGCGGACGCTGAACACCGTCTAGAGACCAACTAGAATGTGCCACGTCACCCTTGGATCCGTAACACAGCTCGTTACCGCGGCTTGGTACCGTTGACGATATTGCACCTAATTCACCTCCGGAGGTAGAGCCGTGTCCGGGCTCCGCACATAATAACTTCTCCCGCGCCAGCTACTAGCCATCGAATTGAACATCAATATCATTATGTTTTACATTACATCTGTTTTACTCTAAACCAAATAAAAACTCGCCCAAGCGTGCACGCACGCTCACCCGCATTTTTGGTCCGGTGTGGGTCAGGTCATCCCGCCAACCCGCCGAGCAGGTTCGGGTTCGGATTTCTGACCCATTTATCTACCTGGGTCGGGTTAGGGTCGACCCATTTGAACCCGGGTCAGTTCCGAGTTTAACCCAAAACCGACCCGTGACCCGAAATTGACACCTATAAAAAATAATCAACTAACTTATTTTATGCTTGTTCAAACAATATAAACATATCTGAAATACATTGCATTCATTTTACTTAGCTTCATTTTCAACGAAATGGAAGAAACCCTAAACAAATATTAATAGAGTAAAAAAGATTAAACAATTAAAAGTAGTCCACAATTTTTAAAACAATAAAGAAATGGGAAGACATAAAAAATTAATTCATTCATATTTACAAAATTTTAGTTTTCTCATTGAAAAATATTTATAGATTATCAAATCATTTAATAATCTATTAACAATATAACAATCAGTAATAACATATAAACTAATCACTCATAATAACTTATTAAAGCTACTTATTATAATAATGAAAAACCAAATTATCAGATGTGATGAAAATTATATATAACTAATCAAATATTTCTATCATTAAATTTAGCTTCAAAGCCTACTTTGACTCATCAGCCTCTCAGCCGACACTTTACCCCAATCCATCTCCTGTTCTGTCGGTGCCTCTCTCTCTCTCTCTCCCAATTCTCTCTCCTCCCTCTCACAGTCTCACTTTTCTCTCCTCTCTCCTCTTCTCCCTCTCACTCTCTTTCATGTCTCTCTCTCTCACCTCTTTCATGCCTCTTCTCTCTAAACTTTTATTTCGTCCGGTGTAAGGATACAGAGGAACATCCGGTTGGATCGGTTGTAGGCAAAATCACGCCTATACCGAGGTGTACCGAGTTTTTTCTCGGTATAGGCGCGATTTTGCTTACAACCGGATGTTCCTCTGCATCCGGTCGGAGGACGTAATAATTGTTCCTTCTCTCTGCTCTCTTTCATGCCTCTCTCTCTTCTCTCTCTACCTCTCTTTCTCCCTCTACCTCTCTTTCTCACTCGGGCCCAAATCACATGAGCACGTGTCATTGGGCATAATGGAATGTCCTATTTGGCATGTATATCCAAACTCCAATGCATTATTTTTATCATAAATTAATATTATGCATGAAAAAATAATAATTCAAAATTTCTTATTAAATTTTAATAAAATATTTTGTTTAAATACTATAATCATAAAAATAAGAATAAATAGAAAAATAATATTAATATTGATAACATTATATAATTCAATGCTTTGCTTACCAATAAGACCAAAAGATCGGCATATTTATATTTTAACCCATAATAACGTGTAAAAAAACTCAACATGCAAAAAAAGGATGAGTCAACGTAAATTTTTTTATTATTTATAATTGAGGATAAGGTTCAAATTGTAATTAATGTCGTTTTTTGCATTGTTTTTTCATAATAATAATGCCATGTAGTATGAAAATGAGGACTGAAATTTATATCCAATTTGTCATAATTTATGGGATATTTATGCACATGATACCAATTTTTTTTATTTATCGAACTAACATTAAAGTAAATCGTTATAAATAAAATTATATAAAAATATCCTGATATATTTTATTATAGAATGACCTTCAACGCCCTTTAATTTGCATTAAGATTAGTATAACTCTTAAACATCTGATGTAATAAATATAAATCATATAGATCACATTATATGATGGGGGTTTGAAGAACCTATTGATATGAGAGTTATTCACAATAGAGTTTTTGTCTGTTCGTTTGGTTGGTATGATCGTAAACAAATGATGATGGTTGGAGGGACCGTAGTTGGCGTGAGACGGGGGTCGAAGGCACTGTGTTTGACGGGCAACGGAGATTGGAGGGGCCGTTGTTGGCAGGCGACAGAGGCCAGAGAGATCGCTGTCGATGGGGAACAGCGGTCGACGAACTGTAATAAGAAGGAGATGAAGGTCAGAGGGACCATAATTGGCAGGTGATAGAGGGCGTCCTTATTATCTATTACTAATTTTTTATTTTGTTGAGCTTTTAAATAAATTTAAAAAAACATATATAGGTTAGAATTTAATGG